GCCGCGCCGCCGGTTTTCCCCTTCTTTTTCATCTCGTTGGAGGGTTCGCATCCCGGGGGGCCCTGCCGTGACGGCCCCCGGCCCGGCAGGTCATTCAGCGGCAGGAGAGCAACAGCCGGGGATGGATGTTACAAAGGAGGGCGGAAGGGTTTGCCTCGCTTGCGAGGCGGGGAAGAAGGGAAACGCGAGGGAACCATGATGGGCACGGCTGTTTGGCAAGCACCGTTCAGCAAAACCGGCTGCCTTTCCCGTTGTTGGTTTAGGTATGGAGCAACGACCGGCTCGCTTCCGTAACACGCGGAGGCGCAAAAGGGAAAACGCCGAGCTGGGGAGAGGGATGGGAGCCGTCAGGCTGATGTACTCGAAGGCACCTTACGCCCTCGCCCGAGGTGGAGCAGGGCTGACAGGACACGGCAGCCCCTGGGGGCACCTTGCGGAGGCCGTGGGGCCGGGAAGTCGTGAAGCATCTTGCTGCAGCTCCGCTCCTGGGCCCCTTCGCTCCAAGAGAATGTGCAGGGAAAAAAAAGGCTGCCAAGGGCAAGGGGCGGAAAAAGCTAAGCCTCCCACCACACCCAACCAATTACTGTGAAAAGCCCAGTTGCAGGCTGTCTAGTGCAGGAGTTTACACTGCAGCCTGAAGACAGGAGAAGAGCTTGAGAAGCCACCTGTCTACTCCTCCGAACTGAGGAGCTTTTCTCTCTTATTTCCCATCACTGAAGATAATCTTTTCTTCCCCTCAGATATTTATGGATAGTTGTGTCTTTCGTAATGGCTGCCATCTGAACAACACAAGGTATTTTAACTGTCTCCTCCCGGCACAGCCCAGTCCACTCAAGCTACTAACAGATGCTTTTCATCTCAAGGAGAATCACCACGAACTGTTCTCCATTTGGGCCTAGATGCTGCCCTTGACACTGCACAAGCAGCCCCCCGTTCTAAATACAGACTACATCCAGAATGACAGACCTCTTGTGAATGCAGTCACACCTTCTGCTAGTACAGTTCTGGGTTATATTGAAAAAAAAAAAAAGAGGAAATTACAGGCAAACTAAAGAAAATAGAAACATTTATTGAAATGTGCAACATACTCGTGAAATATTTAGCACTACTTACATGACAGTCTCATTTAAAAATTCATCTTTTGTAACATTCAAATAGATCAGCATCCTTCACACTGAGAAAGAGGGCTTCTTAAATTGCATCTTCGATGACAGTTTTACTCATTACCCAAGGTACATTCACACTTTTAACTGAAGTAATTCTCCCAAACGCTCCTTCTCTACAAATTTTACAAATAGCAACAGTTGCGTAACACTAGTAGACTACAGTGTAAGCTCCTTCCCAATTCAGCATCTTTAGCAAGTGCTTAGCTGCAGTCCTCTGAGATTACACATGAAAACACAGTTAAGCATATCTGTGTTCACAGGACTTAAATTTAAATCCTGACTCTTCAGGGCCACAATGTACCTGTAATCTCTAAACCTGGTAGTAGCCCTGTTGAATTCGGGATTATTTTTCTAGTCCCATGCTGAAAAGTTCAGCCTAACTACAGAATGAAAGCCTAAAGTCCATCTGTGGTCTGTGAACCGAGAACTGTGTTTATAGATTTCAAAAAAAAAAAACCAACAGGTTAATCAAACTGTAGCCAAAAAAATTGTTGAGATTTTACACAAAAATTAATTTTGCATATAAAAATACCAATAGCTACTCATTAACTTCAGTGATTGTCTGTCAAACTTCATTATGTCTAATTCTTCATTTCCAATGTACACAACTGGCATGTCCTTTGGAAAAGAGTATCACACAGAGCATAAACTTTTTCTTAATTACGTATGGTAGCAAGAAGCGATGTAAAATGCTTAACATTGTAAGAAGATAAGAGCTAAGAACCTTCATAAAAGCCATCTTCAATGTCTTTGCATTATTTACTGGATTTTCACATTTTCAGCTCCAGTTCATTTATCCTGCAGCTTCCTCCATAGGCACAGAGGATCTCTTGCAGCAAAAGAATAGCCATTTACAGAGTAAAAGGCAAAGCACAGAACGGCAGCATTTCTGGATCTGAATGGGAGTTTGTGTACCTCACATCTGCATGCTGTGATACGGCTGGCATTTTCTGCAGAAGCAGCAAGCTGGTAGATGTACTGGTACATTGATGCACTAAATCTTTCCCCATGCTGGGACTGAGCCAGCAGCAAAGGCAAATGCTTCCTTTCTATCAGGCAGCAGAGATACTGAGGAAGAGGCTAGATTTAACATTTGAGCAAAGGGAACGCAGAGGAAGTCAAACCCCACAGTTACATAAATTTGTGCTGCCCATAGTTGCTACTCAGGCAGAACTCCAACTGAGGTCAGCGAAAGAGCTGCCAAAAGACTGTGGGGTTCATGTGTGTGGGCCACATTTTAAATGTCACTTCATATTAATACAAGGAAAAAAAATACTGAAATGTAAGTGTCTAGGAAGTGTTGTGATTGCAAAATGCAAAATACAAAGAGACAAAAGAGCACCACTGAGACAGTATACCTACAGTTAGGATAGTAAAAGTACAAACTGAAGGAACTGCGAATGGAAACATTTTCACAGTGTATTCAGAGATGCACCTTCCTTTATTCAGAAGTAGCAGCTCCTACTTAAGCGCTTTCCTCTTCAACTTTGAAGATGTATTAGGTGAAAGCAAAACGTTTCTCTCAAAAAGTCTTAAAAAAAAAAAAACAACTAGCATTATCAGAAAAATGAAAGAAGGTGTAATTTTCTCTACATGGTACATTTAGCGCATGCTGGCTCCCAACGGCTGCAAATATTTAAACGTGTGAGACAGTCCAGGCATTGAGTTCAATGGACAGGATGAATGATTAGTGCCAGCTCACTTCTGCTTTGTGCAATGCTTATCCCTATGCCTTTCATACAGAGCTTTGCAGGGGGTAGGGAGCGGGGATGGGACTAGCTAAATTTGGAAAACTGCCATTATAAAGCCATAACAATTGCCAGAAAACCAAGAATGAGGGCAGCATATTAGATTACTGTTTTTGCAGCGGGGGTTGACACCTTTCTATTTTATGTTGATGCTGCCAGCTCTTAAAATCAAAGGCAGCTGTCAAAAAACCCGATTAGTTTCACTTAATACTTGCATGTTTGTAACCAGCAAGCAAGAACAATAACTGAGCCAAGCAACCTTTAAAACAAGGATACATGATATATGAACTTTGTTGTTTGTAATTTCATGGCTTAGCAAAATAAAAAGCATGCGAATAACAGCCAGTATGCAACAGAATGTACGTGTTAGGTGTGCTACGTAGTATTAATTAATTTCAGAAGGAATATTCATCAGAATTGTATGTACAGGGAGAGAAAAACATGTTAAAAATAATAAATCAATATTTGCAGATAAAAGGAAAATTGAGGAAGATATTAATAAAATGCAAACATCGTTTTCACTCTAAATATTTGTTAGAACTAACACCATTGCCAATGTGAAGTAGGAAGTTGCTTGTCACTGGCTAAAACTCACTTTTATGTTTTAGGACAAATATTATCTTCTTTCATGACTAAAAATGCATTTTCACAGAAAATTACATCCCCCAACATATTTGCAAATATCCCATGTGTATATGGAGGAGAGGGAGAACAACAACAGGCTTACGGTTAAGTCTTAAAGAATGAAAATTGCCTATTTTTTCATCTTGATTTCCTTTTAAATACATGATTACAGATAACAATTCCTAGATTCTGACCCTCTACTACCCCTGAAAATGCAGGGGCTGCTTCCAAAGGACTGCCAGCTGGCCCTCTGGTGATCTAGTGAGGAACTGCAACCCACCTTTCCATATGAACGAGGCAGAACACGTTCTCCAGTAAGAGTTTCCACTTACCCATCGATATAAATGTTTATAATGAATTAGAGATTGGGGTGGGTTTTGGTTTGTTTTCTGGCATGCACACTTATGTATCATTTTAAAATCGTTTCCCGTGTGACATTATATTAACAGTTTGCCCCTAAGTCCTTCATATAATGGACTAGAAAGTTGATTTCAGAGATCTATTTATATGAAAGCTCTGAAGGGACTTGGTAATGTTCAACCAAACAATAGATAAGAACATAACCTACATTCTAAAAACATTTAACACATTTATATATAGAACATCAATCCACCTAATATACCAAGTGTAGATAAAAGCATTAGATACATATATACAAACCCATTTTCTTTACATAATGCACGTGCCCTAACTCAGTATATTGAGCTACCAGTCCAGTTTCATGTCTGCTTTACTCCACACATACTTTCCTCCTCTGTTTAGGAACATCTTCTCATCAAATCCACTGAATTTTATAGCTGCTTCTACGCCAACATCTAGGATGGACTTGGAAGGCTCTTTCCGTCCATTTCTACAGTTCAGAAAACGCATCTGGAACATCAGTAGATAAGACATTAGAAAGTCAATTTGTAAAAGATTAATTCTTCTACAGAATTAAACAAGTTGCACTGCAATCCCACAAAAGCCTATATAAGTGCATGAACAGTTTCACTGTAGCCCTTAGAAGGCTCAGAAGCTCATGGTTAGACACATTGACACATCTTAGCAGGAACAAAGCCATACTGTAATTCCTGAACATTAAATGTTTGCTCTTCCGTTACATGTAGCTAAGTTAGCTCTTTGAAGTTGAACTTTCGGGACAAGTTTTGTATTTTTAAGTTAAAGAAAAACAGCAAAGATACACATCTACACTTTAAGATTCATGATGCAATGATTATACGTGCAACCTGATGGCAACTTCTCCTTAGGTCCTACTTATATTCAAGTTCTCAGTATGTTTGATGGGAAGAAATTATATCTATTCCTTGTACTACATGGTAATATTCTTTTATAGAATGCACAGTAAATTGAATTGGTTATCACTGTTGTATACATACATATATTAGCATACAAATACGAAGTAACGAACAAGGACTTACGTATTCATCCAGAATGAGGTATGAATCCCTCATCTGTAATAGATCAAAAGAAAAAAACAAATTAATATACAAACCAAAATTCCATTCTAGTGAAAAATCAAAGACAAAACAAACAACTATTCATTCAAAGCCTGACCCAAATCTTTGAAACAGGTAGTGTCTTACCACTATTTCAGTGAGCGTGAATCAAATTTATAGACCTCTCAAGCATCTCATTGAAATGTGGGTGCCCAACTGGATAAAGGTGTTTTAAATAATACCCAAGTTTTCTATTAACTTCTACACCAGCAGAACTTACACTGTTTTGCATACTAGAATGATTATGTCATTTTCCAAACAAATGACATGCCCATTTAAGCTGGGGTGTTTAATTATCACCCCAACAGACAAAGGTGTTCTCCCAGCTCAAAGGTAACTTGCCAGCTCAAAAAGCTCTCAGGTCTGCACCAGGAGACAGGCCAACAGCTGAAATAAGACATTTTTGCTCAGCTAACTGTGCATCTCCTACATGATCGTCCCTAAAATTCTCTGGGTAGCTGTAGCTCGCTGCTGTGTAGAACAGGAAATCTCTTTGATCAATTTGGTGTCCATCTTTCACCCAGGTTTAACAGAAATCAGAGGCAGTCTTCTAGAACCAAACCTACTGAGGGAAGTCTATGCTTTTTTCCTAGGACTTCTTACATGGAAAAAATTGGAGAAGCAGTTCTGGGTTCTCATCTAAACACCTTTTTTGATGAGTGCTCTCTTCCACCAAATGCCTTAAATGCTACACTGCACAGTCCCACTTTTGTGTCTTTCACAGTAAAGGCAACCCAGTCTGCTCACTTGAGCTCTCTATACATTAAGAAGTAAACTGTAAATGGAGAGTCTTCATCTGTGGAGAGGAAAAGGAACACGAGATGGGAGATTTAAGGCACTCCTGAACTTGGTTGAACTTAGTATCTCCTCACTCAGTTCTTAACAGTGAGTCTTCTAACTCTCCTCATGCCATGTATAGGGTCTGTAGGCATCTTACAAAATGTCCTCAGCTCCACCCTTAGGCACTAAAGTCCTCTACTGCAGCTAATGTAAGCTGGATGGCAGCTCATCAAGTTAACTGCTGGACTCTGCAGTAGCACAAGGAGTCTCCTGGTGAATAAAGAGCCCGAATATGCAGTCCAAAGGAGTTCAGACAATGTTAAAAATGCGACTTTATTGTGGCAGGGAGTACCCAGTAAGGTATGTCAGGCAAAAATACTAGTTCCTGTTCCTCAACACCCAACATAACGCTGACTGGGATGATATCTTACTTTGCGTAGGTTGATGACACTGCCATAGCATAACATCATGGTGAAACTCTATTAGGAAGCTATGCTTAGAGTATAAAGTGTGCTTACATTAATATGCAACATTTTCAGGATCTTGTGCCCTGGTGGGGAAGAGCTGTTCAATTCCAAATGGCTTAATTATTGTTTAGAGTTCACCATTCAGCTGTGGAAAACTCAGTTTCTCCAGTTTCTGTGCTTATCCTTTATACATCCATCTCACTGAGCAGAAGCCCACATGACGCTGTGAGAGAACTCCTGCTGTTTTCCACAGGACTGGGATCAATCAGTTTTTACTCTTCTGTTAATAACTTTGTGCTCAATAAAGAGCCTTAAAGAAAATTTAAAACCTTGGTTTCCGCCATCATAAAACCAGTTGCTGACAAAGTCGTACTGTACCTCTTCTAAGCCAATACTAAAAGGGAAACTGTTAATTGCCATGAAAGCCTCTAGTTCTTTTCCATCTTTGCAACTTTATTTGAAAATAAAGTTACAAAAGGACAGTTTCAATCTTACCTTCTGATTAGATTCAGGTACCAAACAGGAGACATCTTTGTGGCGATCCAGGAATTGTTCAAAGTCTTCATCACTGATAACAAATTTCTCTGCTTCTCTCAGGGCATCCTCACCAGTGTTCTCCCCTTCGATGAGCAGGCACTGGAATACCTGAAGACAGAAAGCACCTGGTTAAGATTTTATGTTTTCACTTGCCTTGAGGAGAAACAACTGTCACCATGACAAAAACCTTCAGTTGTCTCAGTAGCAATGTCTTTAATTTTTCTTTCAGTGGAGCCACACTGACGCAAATTGTCATAAGTGAATACTACATGAAGGGCATGGTGCAGATTTATTTTTAGCAAATTAATATTACAGCGTTCTAAATGTAATTATACAGTCATGCTTCCTGATCAGGTTTCCACAGAAATCTTAACTGCTCTGGCCTTAATAAGGGCACAGATAATCAAAGCTCAAATAAACTTTTGATTGAACCTCAATTGGTATGTCTGTATCATAAATGCCAGTAAGTACTATGTACAATGCAGACTATCAAGTCAATCTTTATTCTTAAAGATTTTAACCTGATTCGTGACTGTAAGTTTAACTGGCTTCAGATGGTCACAGAAAAGATAGGGACGACTCCCCGGGAACAAAATGTAATAGTTTGTCTACTTAACAGCCTTCTTCTAAAGGCCAAGTCCTCAAATACGTTCAGAATAGACCTTGGGAGAAAAAAAGGTGCCTTTGCCATCAACATGCTCTGTAACACCAGTAAGAAAGTAGTCCAGGAAGCTTGATGAAATATTAAAATGTTGTATTTTCCTTACACTCCTTTAGTAGGACCAAGATTTTACTTACAGGGATATTTTTTCCTAGGAAATCATGTGTGTATACCAATTTCCATGAAGCAAATAATGAGAATTATTCCACAAGTTCTCCCATATTTATGTCACATTATCGCTACCCATTTTCAGACTGATAAGGTATTTAACACACTTCTAGTAGAAAATATCATATGTGCACACTAACCACTAATACTCTATAACAGAACATTAATGTCTAATGTACACTTATATATTGCTAATGATATATTAACTCTAATGTATCATTGTACACTAGCTTTTCCTCTTTTTCTCTACATCATGACACATTTTCAAATGTTAAAGGTCTTCTACCTTATTCTTAATATCATGAAAAACCTAGATCTACATACGCTGAAGTAGTAATTTCCTGTAAATGTCACAACAAAAAAAGATTCTTGACATATTGGGCTCCATTTAAGTGCAGAAAGAGACAGAACCTGTCTCAACACCATGTAACACTGACAAGAAGTCTGCTACCACCAGCCCAAGCTGGAGCTGGAGCTGGAGATCTGACTGAGGTCATGAGGGTCTCAGACAACTCCTGGACTTCACTTCATTATTACTTTTCTCTGAACAGGAAACTATGGTATACAACACTACTTTCTTACCTTCCAGCGCACGGGGTTGAGTGCCTTGATCTGCTCATTCATATCTTCCTCAACGTTAAACCTGTTGATCACTGAATTTATTTTGAAAGCAACACCATACCCTCGGCACCACTGTCTCAGTTTATGCAGATTTTCCACATGGTTCTTCTTTCCTTGACCACGGCCAATTAAAACGTTGACATTCTCATCAAAACTATCACATGAAATTGCCAGAATGTCTAAATATTCACCTGAAAACAAGTTTTAAAAATGTATTAATATTCAGTTCCTCGGTTAAAAGCTGTCAGGAGACTGCCCACTTTCACTTCCTTGTGATCTGTCACCAAGTGCCATGTAAATACAGTTCTGTGGAGTCCTCCTATGAACCACAAAAGCCACAGCGGCAGCAGCAGGTTTTTATGTGTGTGTGTGTGTGTGTGTGTGTTTGTGTCCCCAGCATTATGGAGACAGTCTGAGCTATTATTTTATTATCTTATTATACCAAAGAGGCAATAGTACAAACTGCTTATGTTCATAATGTATAATTAGCAGTATTTCACCAGTACTTACGTTTGGTTTGCGTTGACTGTAAATGAACCACTAACAAACCACCTCCCACTTGCACCAAAACCCATCTTTTGGTGAGGCTGCCCCGAGGAGGCTCCCAAACCCCGCCAGTGCTTCTGCACACTGTTGTTTCTCCTTACCGTACTTCTTGAACCACCGTTCTCTAATCAGGCTGCCGTTGCTAACAATGCTGACGCTTGGTAGCTTCAACTCCTGCTTGCAAAACTGGACCAGTTTGCCCACATATTCGCCTCTGTCCTGAAGAAACGGTTCTCCTCCCGAGAAATTGATTTTCTCCATTCCTAGGAAAGGACCAAAGGAAGATGCTGCGAACCTCTGCCTGCCTATCGCCTGCTCCTTCCACACGACTGCAGCCGTAGGAAGAGGGACACAGGGACACCCACTCCCCGCGATAACTTCTTCGACGCCACTTGCTCCTGCCGGAACGCGGCCCCCCGCCCCGGCTCCCACCGGGGGAATCCCCCACCCCCCGGACTCACCCGCCTCCTTGAGCATCGCCAGCCCCCGCTTGGCCTCCTCCAGGGGCAGCACGAAGGAGGTCTTGGCCGTGTGGAAGCAGAAGCCGCACTTGTAGTTGCACTGCCGGGTGAAGTGGTAATTGACGCTGGTGGGCGTCGGGGGCGCGTCGTCCCACTCCCACTCCCGCTCCCGCTCCCGCCGGGGGCCCGCGGGGGCGGTGGGGCTGGGGG